TGGATCAACCCGAATTGAAATCTGGGCAATAAGCGTAAAAAAATAGTATGGAAGTATAAATAAGAACCGGGGAATAAGTACACGTATATATTCCTAACTACGTAAAAAACAGACTATAAAACCTTAATAAATCAGTAGTAACTTCGGAACTCTTTCGATTAATAATTGTGCTGGAAAAACATTTTTGTATAAAAAAGTTAAAAGCAATCAAATAATATTTTATTATGTCAGATCTCAGATATTTTTTGTTAAATATATTTGGATTTCTTGTTTTAGCTACTGGAGTTGGGCTTTTTATGAATTATATAACTGCCAAATGGTGGACGGTGCATTTTGTTATGTGGTTCGGTAGTCGTTATTCTTTTACTTATAACCAAAGTGGTCTTTTCATAGGTGTTCCCTTGTTTGTTTTAGGTTGCCTTTTAGTTTTTCCTACTACAACAGTTCTTATTAAAAGATTAAATCCGAAACCACAGTTTGTATAATAGCAGTAAAGGGTTTAATAGTTAAATCTATCAAAGAATTAACAAGTCATACTACATGAAAGTTTCTAATAGGGAAAATGTGTGGTGAACTTTGTAGTAGGGGTCTGCAATTTATCTATTTTAATGACTCGGTCCGGCTTATTATATAGCAACATAAATTCCAAAAAAAAATTTTACTATTTATAATATTTATAGTTTATATATATATATTTATTTTAGCATATTTTGATAAAGATATATGTTAAAAATAAATAATTTATCACCTTTTAAATAAAATTCAATTTTTATTTATTTATTTAATAAAATTAAATTAAATTACGTAACGTATAAATTTTTAAATATAACTTATAATTTTAAAAAAAATTCAAACTAAAAAATTTTTGACTTTAAAAATTTAAATAAATATAAAAATAAGGACATCTTAACTATATAATTTTTATGGGAACTTTTAGGCATCTCCTGTGAGAGACGCATCTCTCGCATCTGTTAGCCAATAGCGAACCACGCTTCGGACAAATTATTGTTCTGGAGACATTATACATCTACGTAGGCGTTGTGACCTGATCATGCAATGTCCACTGTTACGACAATTTGGAAGAACAATTCAAAACTCATACACAGTTTAGCTCCAGTGGTGACCTTGGATAGAATTTTACAACCTTTTATTTCAGTATTTAATCGGGTGAGATACGATTATTAAGGTGTTTCAAAATTAAAATTAAAAATCTTGTGTTTCTAAATTTCAAAATTAGGAAATGAAATAAAAGTTCTATATCATAGATCTATAAATTTTTCTGATGTTGACTATCATAAAATACATAAAATAGAATTTGTATCATTTACTTCAAATAAGGATGGTAAAGTTCTCAAGTTCGGAACCTTGAACCTGATTGGGAACTAATTTTTAAAAAACAACTTTTTAATTTTAAAACTAGGCTTTAGATTCATACTAGGTTTTACATAATGTATGTACAGTACTGTAATAGTAGTATATATTTTATTATATATATATTGTACAAAAATCAATTTTATTATATAAAAATTAAAACATGATAAAACATTATGTTAGTGTCACTAATTAAGACTATAATCAATATTAGAAAGAGATACCGACATGTTTTAATCAAGAGTAGCTGTTCTCTTATGTCATATTACAATGTTTGAAAAATGCACAAGATTATATATTTATATGAAAGTTTACGGGCTATATTTGGAGATGCACCTGGAGTTGTTTTGAAAGCCAGATGAATTATTATAAAATTTAACTGAACTAAGTTCTGAGACCAGATATTAGAGCTTGGTTTCGGTTAACCTATGCTTGGTACTTAGCTTATAAAAACTAGGTCCTAGTTCGCAAAATGGAACCAAAAATAAACCTAAACTTACCTCGAAATAAATACATTATTTATTTTATCCAAAATTAGATGCTCAATATTTAATTCTAAAACTACATATTAACGACAGTTTGAAATTAATGAAAAGTTTATCATGCCAATTATTTAAATACATGCCTCTTCTTCTTTTTAACATGATCATTAGTTCTTTAGATCTTTTTATGCACTTTTAGGTTGTTATAACATGTAACAGTATCTTTTGAATTTCACCGTCGGCCCCACAAACCTAATGTACAAACATTATACTGCACTGTATTATATAATTTAATTATACATAGCCTTAGGAGCGTTAGGAGTATTAGAAATGTTATGTAGCCTGGTCAAAATTAATGGATCATAATTATTTCCTGATTGCGGTTGCAAAAGTGATTAAATTTGCATAATATAACGCTGTAGTGATAATAGTTATAATTAAATTGATATTGGCGATGATAAAACAAAAAATTGATTCTTTACTGTCAAGCACTTTTTTTTATCTCCAAAATTTGAAAAACTAATATATTGTACTGATTTTTGACTACTAAAATTTTGCATAGAATATTTTTATTAGAACTTCAGAAGTTTGTTTTATAATCAGAATTTTGAGATATTAACATAATTTAGAAGCAGAGTTTTAGAATTAGTGTTAATATATAAACTATAAATAGCAAGAATTCGATTAACCAATTTCTTTTTTAGACGATTATAAGTACTAATTTACAGAAACCTCAAACCCTAAAGATTCTATTCTTTATAATTTAAAATAAATATATACTTACAAGCTAATCATTGACTAATAAAAATAGCATAATAATTGTAATTTAATAGCTTAATTATATTAAAAAAATCATAATCGTATATACGCGCATATAGTAAATTACTAGACTGATTTTCTTTTTATTAATAAAATATATTTAAAATAAAAATTTATTTTATTTTTTTAAAATTTTTAAGTGCAAATTTCTAATTGAGAAATTAGATTAATATATAAATCATTAAGGCTATCTTCTCAATTAGGAAGTTTGCTTGTAAAAAAATTTTAAAATTTTTAAAAAAATTATTTTTAAATAATTTAACTAATTTAAGATTAGGTAAAAAAAAATAAAGATTATTCATAGAATTGAAGATTTTTATATTTTATATAAAGTATAAATTTTTACATTATTAATCAAAAGCGTATCAGTCTGGTAATTTATTGTAGGTATGTATATAGAGTATGTACACAGCATAGCGGGCTTTATCATGATTGGCTAATTTTGGAAGATCATCTCATCATAATAAAGCTTTATTAAAGTA